AAAAACAAAATAAACAGAGGCACAATAAAGGTGCTCGGCAGACAAACAAGAAAGGCAAAAGGACAACAAAGCTTACCCGAACCGTTTTTCACTGTTAATTTTATTATTCCGGAACTTTCCACTGCAATTTGGAAATTGAATTCTTGTAAAAACTAGGTTTGTAATTACAAAGGTTCACTATTTTTTATATAATCTCCTTTTTTTATATCGGTGAGTTACTTTAACAATCTTCAGAATTAATTAGCTTGTTAGAGATATAATATATGAATGCCAAGTTATGACAAAATATTGACTCTTAACTACAAATTAAATATAATGAACTCTGTTTTAACTGTACATGGCATTGGGCTTTTGAATGTTTATTTCAATTTATCTCTTTTACGTCTATCCCGAAGTAAAAATTGGAAATAGATTAATACCAGGTTTAAATTTAGTATTCAAATTAAACAAATAAACACACAAAGAATATACATGTGTAAAAATCCCTCCCCCCCCCGGGGGGGGTGGGGGAACACAATTTCTGTGTCCGATTCACTGATGCGTTCTTGTAACAGGCAAGTAGTTTATCAGGCTTCTGTGCCCTGCCTGACCGATACAATTTTTTTCCTGGAATAGAACCAGGACTTCGCGTTTGTTAGACAATACCTGCAACCATTTGGATACAAAGGCGGTCAAAGAATATACATACAGAAATTAAAACGAGAAAATACATAAATGGGTTCTACTATGACTGTCACTAACTTTGCTGTTACGACATCTAATTTGCTGCAGCGATTATCAGTGATACCCTATGGATGATATTTATAGTGACAGAAAGAAATAATGAGATTAAAGTAAATAAGGAAGTTTAAGATCCACAATGTTGCTCCAATTGTTTGGGTAGGCGAGCCTCACTCAAGCTTCACACTTAGCAAAATTTGTTTACACGCAAAATAAACACCAAATATGTACAGTCAAAGAAATATAATATTTATGAACAGTGTTTTCCTTATCATTTGTTTTGGAATATTATCAAAAAGACAATTTAGATCTTCTGAAACATGAATGGAATTTTTACACCGTCTTATTTCCCGGAAGGGCTATTCTTCATTCGGTAACAGACGGCTATTACAATACGGCAAATAGATAACGGACAGGTTAGAAATTCTATTTTACACTTTTAAAATGTCAGACAATATCTATCGTAAAGAATGCACAATAGAATTGAGTAAAGTAATTTTCATAAAAATATATAGTAAACATTAATGTAGGTAAGTACTATTGATTTTTGTTTACTAACAACGTATTAACCTTACTTTATTATCTTATTATTCTCCTTTAATACTAACTTTATTTAAATAAAGTGGTCATTTTAGTTGTGACCAATAGCAAGTAAATATAATTTTAATCCAAAAACTTTAATAGCTTAAAACGCGAAATATATTAGTTAAATTTGTTTACAAATTACTTTTAACTATGGTCCGACGTTTTGGATACAGCAGTCGTGGTCACGAGGAGAGTTTAATATGCTTCGCGTATTAAACCGTTAAAATGTTTTATGTGAATGTGTACTACACGCGTAAATTACGGACAATATACGAATGAGCAGAAAGTTATTAATTTAAAGCTTTGGTTATTTTCTTTATAAACTTGACTTGACTTATTCTATAATATCTTCTAAAATAAATTCTATATCATGGATACTATCAATCGTTTACCTGAATGTTTACATTGAATTACTATTTTTGCAAAGTTACCCTTTTACACTAGTAAAAGCTACTAAGCTAGAGCTAACACAACCGACGCCAACGAGCCAAAACAATAGACACGCGCGAAGTTGCCACCCTCCACTTTCCTCATGCAAAAGTCGAACGGTTACTTGAATTCTTAGCTGAAGCACTTGTCGGTGCAGCGTGCGATTTAATCCACTTAAAACGCAAAGCACAAACTCGGAGCCGACAAAGCTCTCGGCTCTCATTTAAAAATGGAAATAAACGGCCATCTTTGAGACGCGCGACCGCTGGCTGAATCCTAAGTGCTTCTGCTGGCTTGGTGCCGATTCTTTTTTGGCTTGATGGATCGCATCCTGCATCTATCCTCTTTGTTCCTCTGACAATTCATTGAAGACGTTCCTGTATGGGGATACTGGCGTACTATTTCTGGACAGTATGCTAACTATTCGGAACGTAGCTTCAGTCGTGTTAGATATTTGTCGTGAAGCGATCTGTTAAATGACTAGCTTACTGGTCTGACAAGAAAGTTATTTTGTATAGATGAAAATAAATTGTATTGTTAATATAATTTTATTAAGTAAATATTTAGTTAAAGTTGTGCTAACTAGATAGATATCATAGTAGTAAGAATTATTAGAAATATATGTTGTAATCTTAATTATATGTATAATCATGTAAGTCTTGTATAAATAAATAATAAAATTACTTGAAAGTTTCTATCTTTAAATAAGAGCGGAGCCCTAAATTGATTACAAAAGAAAATGGATTGAAATTAAAAGAAATTGTTTACTTTTGTGTTTATTTTGTCTTTTAAATAATAATTTTTTAAAGTGATTTGTCAGTTATTTAATTCTAAGTTTATCAATACAGAATACAATACATAATAACACAGATCATACATAGATAACTTTCACCTCAGCAAATGAATTAAAAGTTCGCCTGATACTTGAAATATTTACGAAAATTTGCAGCGAGATCGCTTCCTAACCAGACCACAACTTATTAATGTTTGTATATTTAAGACTAAAGTCTCCCGAAGAGATCACTCGGATTTGCAATGTTTATTCAAGAGAAGCAGGGAATTACTCGCCGGAGGAGGATGTCTTTGGTCCAAGTCTTAATGAAAGAGTTCGTTTGCCAGCAAGATTATTCCGTTTTTGTTTATTTATGCTTTGGCCTTCGCGAGGCAACTTGTATCGTTATTAACTTTCACTTGGGGTCAACAGCGATCTTCGAGCGTTGGTGGAGTTGCTTCGACTATAAATAGTTGATTCTAAACTACAAATACGCGATACTACTAGTTAATTCTATGCAAACTGTAAGTAACTGAAATATGCTCCTAGTGAGTTTCAAAGCTTTGAATCCTTAAAAAGTCTAATTTAATACATATCACATTTAAATAAAACACTACTGGGTAAAACGGGAAATATACTAGTTAAACATATTTACAAATTATGTTAACTAAGGCGCGACGTCAAATAACTACTACGACTGAACAGATGGCGCTAGCGTAGCGGTTTTTCATTGACATTAAATATTTTAGATATTTAAGCTTGGTTTTTGATACAAACGGTCAGTACAGATTTATCCATGTTATTTTCCTAATTAAATATCAAATGGAGTACCATGTTACGTGTGATCTATACCTAGCTCAAGAGCTACTGTTTACTCGTGCAATTACTTAAGATTGTGTTACCAGCTGTAACCTAGACGTACTAACGTCGATCGATTGCATTCGGAAATTGTTATTGGACAATTGCTGTAATAGTAGTTGTAGTGCAAATAATACCAATAAAAAATATTGACGGTTTAAAACGCAAAGTATTAGTGGTCACGCAATAAGGTACTGAAAGGTATCTGTATAAAAAGGTCGTAGTAATTAACTAATATGAAATGAGAAAATCTGTTGAGATTCAGAACGAACTGGGTGGACATGGAACTGGCATCCACAGCATTCGGTACTGATGTTCTAACCAATAGAGCTACCGTGTTCTAAAATATGAAATCCATGAACTAACAAATGTCGCTTTTAAAACTGTTCAAATATTTTAATTAAATTGCTATGCACTTGGATTTTTAATACCTATAAAACTTTGATTTGTTGGTAACAAACACTAGCGTGACTGCATTGTACTAGATGTAAGTAACACATGTAACAGTAAAAACATGTAGTACGTGGATTTCGTTTAAATTGAATAAAGAGAAAAATAAGTTATAATAGGTCAAAGAGTCGTTAGAAAAAACGTACGTTTTTTTTTAATTCATGAGAAAAAAACGATAACAACGCAGACGAGGTTAAAGGATTGCAGTGTAAACCAAATGTATTACAGAGATTATCCTAACCTTGCCTAATTACAAAAGGTCAAACATCCCCAAATCCAAAATCCCCTCCTATAACTCAGTGCTGCTGTAAATTGCCCTGCTCTTTCCATTCCTTTTCCCACCGGATATTGCGTGAAACGGAATCCAGACAAAAAGGCCGCTAGGTGTCGCACAATTAATATTTTTATTTTACTAATTCCACCGAGAAAATTGCTTCTGTCCCTAATTAAATTAGTTCTGAATTCTGATGAAATTTCACAGTTGCTTGTTAACTAGATAAAATATTTCTTTTGTCATCCCCATTCCTTCAAGGTAGGCTGCTCCTTTTGTCGCAAATGTAATTATACTTACTGGCTTTGTATATTTTGGTCATGTAATTTAATATCTTTATGGTTGATATTATTTTGGCTTTTTTGTATCCATAAAAGGATTTTCGTCTGACAACAAAGTTTAGACTTAAAATAATCGTTTAACTGGGGTAAAAATATATAAAATTGTCCACAGGCTACCATGCTCTGGATAAATATTATTAGCATATTATTTATAATTATTCTTGATTCGTCTGTATCGTGAAATAAATGTAATTTTAAACTTAGCTCGTCTCCTGTCACTTGGTACTACTTACATACAATTTTCAAAATGAATACTAACTATAGTATATTTTCTTCACAGTTATTTTTTTATAGCCTAACTATTTTTTTATAGTATTAATCTCAATCTCTTGTTATTTTTAGACTTTACTTCATAAGTTTTACCCTTCCAAACTCTTAAATAATGTTCTCTTCTACTTGCTGTAAATGCACCTACCCACCTAATTAGCCATTTTTTATTAATTTTCTTCAGTAATTCAGGTCGCCTCTTAGATACCGCTGGTTAGCGATAAGGCCGCCTTTTATTTATTTATAAGTGTGTAAGATTATTTTGATTCCGACAGTTTAAATATAGAAATTGTTCTAGTTATGAATAATGTTAAACCTTTGTATCCAGGATGGTGATCGAGGGTACCTAGAGGGCCTTGCATCTCGCTACGCCGACCTCTTCTCCACGCATTACGGCGACGTACTCGACCACCTGGAGGAACTAAGGCGGCACGAATGGGAGGAGATGTCACCGCGGATGCGAGTGATAGGCGGCCCTGGGACACCACAGACGCCGCCGTCAGCGAGCCCGGGGTCGTTGGCCTTGAACAACCTCACGACGTCACATTCACAACCTATTTATGTGCCTGGGAAGTACTCTGTGAGTTAACAGACATTATTTTTAACTAGCTGTGCCCGCGACTTCGCGTGAGATACTTAGTTGTTTTGCAACAGGTATATTTTTATGAACAAACCTCCTCCTCGTCATTATAACTTTTAGCTGTTACCCACGACGTCGTTGCAACCCGTCGCTCTGACAAGTAATTCCTAAAAGATAGCATTCTTTATATATATATATATATATATATAATATAATAAGCAAGCAACGGAAGCCCACAAAGATCAAATTTCCCCGTTTTTTCCACATTTCCTACAATTTCTTCGTTCCTTTTGATCGCTTCGTGATGCCTAAAGCCTTCCTCGATAAAAGTTCTAATCAACCAAAAAATTTATTATATTAATAGTATAGATAATTTGTTCAACTTTCGGATCATAAGGTGACAGCGCATCTTCTTGAGATGTTATAAGGCTGAACTGTTTCACCACCAAGTAAACCGAATGCGTGTCTGTCCTTCTCTATCATAAAAATCATTAAACATCTCAACATACCGCACATGTTACTTACGTGTACGTTAAGTACCTTCCGTGTTGAACAACATTCTTTGCATAGTGTGCGTGTTATTTTGATCTGGCTGACGGCTATAAATAGTGCAAAGTATTCGTTATCAATAAATTACGAGTGTTTTACTGGAGATTTATTACTCAGTTGATATAAGTCCCTTGGTTGCTTGCAGAATTCAGTGATACGGGTAATTGGCAAACACAATTAGTCACTGATAAGTTTACTAAGTACTTTGGAATTATAGATTTTTCGCAATTAGTATGTCGGAATTACTATATAGGAGTATAGTGTTTATATATCCTAGTATAAGTACACCATGTTTTTGGTATAAACTAAGAACCGATTTAAAATTAAATTAATGTTGGTTTAATTACAAAATACACAACTGCTTATTAGAGATTTAATTTTTTTTTTAATTCAATTAAGATTTCTCCGTACGTTTGAGAGGGTCGGGATATTTATCCTTATGACTCGTGTGCTTTTCGACGAAAGAAATTATCATGAGCATGTCCCAAAAACACTATGGAATATCTTCGAAAACCATAATCATTTTATGCATAATTAGTTAAAGTAGTAGGACATCGCGACCTTATCAATGCTGTAAATTTTCTTCTTTAAAATTGATATGAAAAGTCTTTTCAGCCGTCAAGTTGCCTGACCGATAAGGAAGAGGATGAGATCTACGGCTTTGGTTACGGCGTGTTCGGAAAGCAGATGTTGCAGCGACAACAGCAGCAAAAACAGCTGCTGCTGGCACAGCCCACGCAACCCTTGATGCACAATCAACAGCATAATTACCAGAGGTACATTCATTCGTTAACTGCATTCAAATCTTATCAAATTTCGTCTCTGTAAGGTTATGCCAAGCCAAATGGTGTATTGTCTGTAGTTAACGTACGTTTTAACGGTTTAAAATGCGTAATAATATTAGTTAAAATCTTATTTAAATGACATACATTCATGCTATAGTATTGCATAAATGCTACACATATTTTCGCTTACAATAAACTTAACATATACATATAATTCATAACATTATTTTATATTTATCAAGGGACTATTATGTCATACATATTTTAAGGTATCTTGTATGTCTTAAAGTTATCAATAAATGCTCTAACCAATACAAAAAAATATTTAAATTCGAACCAGTAGTACCTGCGCGTTCATACAAACACACTCTTCAGCTTTATAATATTACTATAGATTAACTAATACGTATATACGCTGACTCGTTAGTCAAAGATATGAAATTTTGCAACAGTAATAAGGACCTTTTATTGAGGTCAACAGGTGCGCTAGTTAGATAAGGCACTCGTTGCATGTTTAATGTTTTATCTAAATTGAAATCGCAAGCTTGATTGGCAAAATTCGGACGTTTATAGTTCCATTGAAATGCAATTGGAGAATTGTTCTCGTTTCATTCTAGCTAATAACTATGTTGTTACTTAGTTCGTATAAGAATAACAAGTAACAAGCGATACCTGTTTTATATTCCATGTATGATTTAGATGTACTGTCTGTAGTTTACGCGAGAAGTACACATTTATATAAAAATATTATATTTAAACTTATTTTAACTACATTTCGGATGCCGTGCAGCAGCCGTGGTCACGGGCAGACTAAAGTTGAATGTCTTCTACGTCAAAGTAAAAGACTAGCGCCATCTGTTCTGTCGAAGTTAGCTTTTGGTGAAACTGGTCGGGTCCTTGCAGAGCTGACTTTTTGATTTGACAGAGAAACGTTGGCCCGTTGTTAAAATAATTTTCACATAAGTTTAATTAATAAATAACATGTTTTAAACCGTTAAAGTGTTTTATTTAAATGATTTATATGTATTAATCTAAGTTAGTCTTTTAGATTTAAAATTTTGGAATTAGTAAAAGAATTAAAAATTATTAAATTAATGAATTGTGCATCACTCGAAACATAACTAATATTACGTTTAACAGTTATATTTATTGATTTCTTATCATTATTTATATAACTAATATGTTAAACATTGCTTTGTTATAAATTAATAATTTTTATAAATTATCGCAAAGATTCTTTAAAAGTTTCATTAATTTTCTATATTTTTTTTAATTCTATACTGCTTACAAGGTATTGGTTTACAACGTGTGGTACCTTTTTAGATGTTTACTATTAAATAAAACACTTAACGGTTTATTTATTTTTAACTGACACACTATAACTGCATAAAAGATAATCTGCCTACAACTTCACGACGAAGAAAACGGAATAGTAAATGCTATCGTATTATTATTTATATGACACACAATTTTCACGCCCACTAACGAAATATGGCGCCATAATTTTATTCATGTACAGTGGGATGTAGAGTGTGACTTGAATTGAAATTATTCTATCCCTTGATAAATTCGAAACGCTCAAAATATTCGCCTGTCGGTGTGACCGTCCCCCCAGCTAAGGTAGAGTCACAACAAAATAATTGAAGTACTTTTATTTAGTCCAACCAATGTGTCGTAGTCTTCTAATTACGTAACATCATTATTATCTTCTTTTGTCGTTATTTTCATGCAAGATATAATAACAGCAAAAATTTGGCATTATTTCTTTAAAAATCAAAAATAAATTGAAAAAATGTTCGACTCGAGCAGGACTTGAACCGGTATCGTTATCGTTCCGTGCTGTTGAGCTACCGAGTCCTACACGTCGACTTTTTCATCTTATTGATACATGCACAACTCGCGCAATCGATTAGTTAGAGCAACACGAAAACAGTAGTTGAAACATTTTTCAATTTATTTGTGATTTTTAATCTATATAGTGCGATCATGTGCCAAAAATATTAAAGTTTTCAATTACTTTTTTGTTTGCATTTTGACTTTTTAGAAAACAATAGCGAACGTATACAGAAGTCAGTATTCTGTATTCAAAACGTTGTCTTTAAAGTTCTATGCGATAAAAAAGTAAACATAAGAAAAAGACAAAAACTTATTCTGTAAACGTATTCCAGAAATATAAAGATATCTAAAAGACATAAATATGACTATTGATAAAGTATAGAATATGTTTGTCGTTTAATTAATATCAAATATAATAAATCTACTTCAATGGCTAGCAAAGGCGTGGGTCTTAAAGTTAATTATCATCTAGATCTAGATTTTATCTCTTACCTTCACAAATGCCCAGCTTCAGAAATTACCGCGAAATCCGATGAATCCGTAAGACATACTTCGGTTCGTTAATTTAAATTTATTTGACATAGACAGAAACGTTTATTCTGGTAAGTGGACGTAATTATCGTTTTTCACTTATTTTTACACCGCACGTCTGGGCTTGGTAACTGAAAAAAGTCACTTTTGTTTTTAAACTTACAATAAAAGAAAATTACATTTTGGCCTTGTTTTTACATAGTCTGGTAATCGAATACGATTTATCTTATTTATAATTTCTTTAGTTTTTAATAAAATTTATTAGTTTTAATTTGTGTATACATCTAAAATACTTACCAGTACTTTATAGAAGCATAATTTGAGTTATTGCCGCTACCTATTTTTAAACGGTTTTATTTAGCTCGACCCGTACGGAACTTATTTAATTGGGTCAAAATTAGAAATTGAAATTTGAGCACCTACCTTTCATTGTCAGATTGATCTGAAATTTGGTACACACATTTAATTTAGATGACAATACAATGTAATAAAATCAATAACATTAAAAATCCAAGATGGCCGCCGATACAAAATGGCGGATTACATATTTTTACTTAACCCCCTCAATATGGGTACTAGTAAAACAGATGATTATGTCAAAATTAAAAAAAATGTAGTTTTCGGTTATTTTTTTTTATGTTGATACTTTTTGCTATAATGCTCGTTTGTTGTTCTATTTGTGTTGAAAAAAGAACAGTTTTGATAATATTCTCAGGCAACCAACCGATGTTTTTAATAAAGTTAATCGCTTCTTAAACATCTACAGCAAATTATATCGTTTCACTTGTATGAAAGTATTTCCTCCCATTTCCATTTAAATAGTTAGCTTTAAATGGAAATAGAAAACGAACTATTAAATTCCAGTCCCCATTAGAGCGGCAACTTGTATGAAACAAATATTAAGTTCGACGTATCTCAGTGAGTCAATTAACACTAGTCGTTGAGGGTATACACTAACAAGCTATAAGATTACATTTGAACGAGAAACGACGAAGATACGGAACCGTGGATTCACGTATAAAGCTTTATTTATAATGAAGTAAAACATACTTGCTATTGTATAAACTCATTATAGCTGTAGTGTTACCGTTATTATTATCATTTATTACTGTAAATCACCACCTTCAAGGTTGCCTGGAAGAAATCGGTTCTTAGTGATAAGGCATACACATTTTGGATATATATACTACATTTTGGATGTTTAAATTAGGTTTTATTTTGTAACATTGTGGTGACAATAAAGTATTTTTTGTTTGCTTGTATTAATATTACTTATTTCAAAATTATTTTACTACGGCCCGACGTTTCGGATGCTTTGCAGACGCCGTGGTCACTAAAGATGCATATATTTTTAAAATTCAATGTACATGTTTTGTATACCGAAGTGTGAAATAAATAAATAGACACTATTTAAATCGATATAATTTAAATACAAGTTAGTTACAGTAGTTTAGCGCTAAACTGTGTTGGCGTTTAGTAAAAAGCAAAGATGATACCAATGTAAAGGCAGGCTTAGACCAGCGGATTTATTTAAGTGGCCGCATAAAAGCGCAATGCTTCGTTCCGTTCATGTTATCTGTTGTTAAGCGATGGAGGTTTAAATTGGGGCCGGTTGTATCTCTGCTTGTTTAAAGCCAATTAACCGACCGCGCCGTTAAAAGAGGTTAACGCTATAAAACTCAAATGAGTTCTAAAGTTTCCTAATGTGTTTTGTTTTCATAGGTTTTGGTATTAGTATAGTAGCAATCATGGTAAGGGCGCGTTCATTGTTTTGTTCATCTTGTGTTAATTAATTAAAAAACAAGGAAAAAACATAAAAATCTACAACATTCAAATTTAAAACTAAGCATTTTGTTTTATCTTATCTCTATAGTAAATATGCGAGTTGTAAATATTCGAAAAGTTTAGTTTACTTAATTTTCTTCATGTTTTACTATTTAGGTACCTATTATATAATTCCGCCTAGCTTAGCTTAGCTTCGCAAAGTGTCATAATTTGTTAAATTAATATATGTATCCCTTATTCGTTTAATATTGTCAGTAACTTCACAAAATACATGCCTAACTTATTTTTACTCCGATTTGACGTTTAGGATACAGGCGTGATCGCGTATAAACTTCTACTAATTTTGCATTTATTTTAATAAAGCAATTTAAACGGTTTAAAGCTCGAAATATATTTGTTAACTTACTTACCATTTATTTTTACTACGGCTCCACGTTTCGGAATTGTAAGTCATGGTTACAGTTACATCACATACAATACTTAATAATTTAAACCGTTAAAAGCTTAATTCTAATTTATTATTAAATAAGTTTGAGTATAACTGATGCATTTTGGTCATGTAGTGCACTTATAGAACCACTTCTTTTAGTTACTGTTTGGAATTGTTTTTGTAAAGCACGTTAAAATTAACTACTTCGTTCAGAACACGGTGTTGCCTATTATAAGGATCAAGAGCCATTTAATAAACTAAAGCATCTCATCTGACTACGCCCTTATGTTTTATCGTATATAGATAGTGTAATAAAAATGTATTACGAGAGTACAATGATCGTTGGATAGACGATAATCATATTTTGGCGTCTATGGGAATTGTTTATATACTTAACATTTTATAGACCAGATTCTCTGTTTTATTTTTTTTATGCACTCCGGTTTTATCTGCTTAACAAACACGAGAGCCGCATCTAAATGCCCTATATTTTGTCCTTGTTGTGTTCCAAAACTACCTTCGTTTATGTATGAAAACAAATATCTTTGAATTCATTTTGAAATAAATTGACATCGATTATGTTTTAAGTCACAAATCTTATCATGTTAAGGGATTTTTGCTTGCAATGTACTAAGTTGCGGTAGGTAACGGGAATTGATATTTCAGGTAAGGTAACAATCTTAACGGTTTTAAAGGAATCAATTAGTTTTCCATAAACACTCCGGGTTCTTTTACGATTACAGCTACAGTGGTCACGAGGGGAAGTAGCTAAAAAATTATTGTGTAATACATCAGATTAAAATGTTAAAAGCAATTTAATAAAATATCTATTCTCTCAAACTTCTTTACATTGAATGTGAATAGTATCCCGAAACGACGTATCATAGTAAAAAATACATAAACACATATTTATCGCGCCTTTAACCGTTTTTTTAAAGAATAACTATGTTAGTCTAGATTAAGCATCCTTTTGAAGATTAGATGTCTCCGCATGAATTTGACTTGCATATGCACGTTAAAAGCATGCCCATGTTATTTATATTCGCGCACTAAATTGGTCACAAAATCAATATTCATTGCATCGTTGTGCCGATACGACCGTGTTGATTTATAACCCATTGTGGAATAGTTTGATCCCAATATAGTGTTTAATACTTTAATACCACGCTCTGTATATAGATTTATAGACGTCGATTAGAAATTGCGGATAGGATATAATATTACTATTTATATTTTTTTGACGATCTCGTAGGTTGAACTATAGTAAATTATGGCTTATAATCAACGGGTCGTGCTTTAGATCGATAACTGGTCCAGCATGTTCTAACCAAATTATATATTATGCGAGTCATGTTGGATTTCGTCTGGAAATCTAGGTATTACATGAGTTTCAAAACTTTAATATTTTTCACATGCCATTGCGCACGATGGTAATAGTGCCATCAATAAAATAAAAATCTACAGCAAAAAATTAACGTCCTGTCCAGTGTCGTTTTTCCATTTATCCAATCGTTTTTTTATATGAGTTGTAGAAATATAGGAATTCCATCCGGATCAAGGATCTACGTGCCCAGATTAAGGAGCCCCGTGAGGCGATTCGGTTTCAGTCTGTGAATTTCCGAATATCTAAAGCTATTAAAGGTCGACTGCGCATCCTGCTGTAGAACTGACTTTCAGCTTCCATTAAGAGAACCCCATGCTTGACTGTCTGTCACAAAAAAAATCTCACCACGCATATCATCCCCATATTTCATTCAACGAAATTTAATAACCCCTCTTTACAAATTTACGCACTCATTACCGGTTGAGCCACAATTGTCATTAGTGATATTGTTAATAATAATGATTTAACGATATACCGAAAATTCATTTTTGGACTTTTCTCGCTTGCAGGCATCATAATTTAATTACGAATGAGGATATGAAAAAAAAGTTTATTATTAAAATTCGCTCCTGGCGAGCCCTGAATACAGCCAGATTATGAATGTGTTAATAGGTTTCAATATGAGCTTGTTTCAATTTTGCGTGCATAAAAATATTAACTTACTCTACGTATTTACGTACCCAAAATTAGTATATTTATTTTTTAAATAACAATTTATACGGTCCAAAGTTAAGTTTTGTCTACCTGTATACGTAAATATTGTCTGTATTTTACACGAATAGCACACATTTAAACAAAACCCTTTAACAGTTTAAACTGCATTATATATTAGTTAAGAACAGATGGCGCTAGCGTAGCAGTTTTTACTTTGACATTAGAGACCCCCCCCCATCTTTAGTTTCCCCGTAACCTCGGCTGCTGCAAAGCATCCGAAACGTCGGGCCGTAGTCGAAATAATTTTCAAATAAGTTTAACTAATATATATTGCGGTTTAAACCGTTAAAGTGTTTTTTTTTTTAATGTACTACTCGCGTACATTTATAGACAGTATTTAACCTTTTGTTATTGAAAATTTCAGATCAATAGCCATAAAGCACTCGAAGTATTAAAATATTTTTTTAATTTACAAAGCAAAGACAATAGTTTTGAAGCTAACATTTTGTTTCAGTTGTCTGAGTCCACGCTCCGCTTACTTTTATGAATTTCCACCGAGCGGTAAGTTCAGATACAATATTAAAACTGAGATTAAATATTTGAATGGTGTTTTCAAGATCCAAAATACTTCAGGACTTGTCTTCAACTTTGCCTTTTGTAAAGATTATTACTTTTGATAATAACAGTATTTAATTAAATACTTTTAACGTCCTTGAGTACTAAACAAAATTAAAGAGATTAACTTATCTGCTACGGTAGAATTGTATTAGGAGTATACTAGGTTCGAATCCCATAAAGCATGGTAAAAAGATCAAATAGATACAGAAGTTTGTTCACCCCAGTATTTTGTAGACTACCTTTGTAGCCAGGTAGTTAAACGTGTTGCCTATAATTGCTTTTAACGCGACACAGGTCCTGGGTTCGAATCCTAGAGAGACAAATTGTTACGTTCTAGCAGGGCACAGCAGTCTACTTGCCTGTAAAAGAACCGATTAGATGCCTCTCGGGGAGAAACAGGATTTTACTCTTTGTAGTTACAATCAAGACTATCTTTTCAGATAACTGCCTCGGCACTGCTAAGAAAAAGGTGACCACGTTTTCGAGACTGCTACGCGGTTTAAAGTCCCATAGGAAAGAGAAGCATGGTTCCTGTTCTCCGAAGCACACACACAGTCCCAGGCAAACTTTACCTCCGCAAAGGGTATGATTTAAATTCAATTTATCTATATCACTAACATTTCACATTTATTACAGGCAAATGAAATTATACAGAGAAAACTATCGAAGTGTATATTTTCATTTGTATGTGTATACACTGAGAATGGACTAAGCACATATTTAGTGTAATATTATATGTATAAAAAAATTACGAAATTAATAATATTAAAAAAAATAATACCATAATTATAAATATCTCAAAAAACATTACGTAAAAAAAAAAAAAAAATAACTAAACTTTATAAATAATAAGCCAGCGATGTACTGCTTCAAATGAGACTAAACACGACAGATCGGTACTCAAGTTCGATTACCGTGATATAAGTTTTTGAATCATATCCACAACGTCTTCCGTAACATAAAAAAATAAAAATTCTGCTCCGTCCATTCTCTATGCCTAATGATGTCGCTATTAATATCACAAGAGTGTTACTAACTTTTTTAGGTACACGGTAAGAATATAAATAAGGTTATGAGCGTGTGAGAAATAGATGTCTAGATGCACAAAGAGAGCATGTTCGCATTTTGTACAACGTGTTTTACATATCTGGGAATAATGAAACACTTTAAAACTGTTTAAAACGGTACAACTGCTGTACGGCATCTTAAAATTACATTCCATGTTTTACAGCGATAAAAGTAAGTTTCAATTATAGTCTATACGACTTAACGTATTTTTAATTGAAACTAATTTTGTCTGAGATACCACAATTTGTTAGTACTTCTTGATATTGGTACACAATTCTAGAAGACACATTTTAATTTAAGTGACATACGATGCACCAATATATAAGTGATATATTAATTTAGGATCATTAGTTAATTTAATTTATTTACCCCAGTTTTCCTCCATACTTTTAAGATGTGGTAAAATCAAGACACATTGTACAAATGAGCATGATTGTTCCACATGGCTCCAAAGACAGAGCTCATGATAGCCAGGAATTGATATTATAAGTAAGTATATTATTAATTAATGTGCTATACACTTTAAAAGCAAGTACAGTAGATTTTTTCGGTCGAGTGTGAAATACTTTTCAATTTTTTTTCGATTTATATTGTATATATTTTTTTATCCGTTCATGGCTTATGTTCTAAAAGCTAATTCGTAAAGTGACAGAGTAATTCTCAGTTCTAGTTCTAAGAAAGTGGTTATTATCTTTATTAAAATAAAAACCAGTAAAACGGACACAGAAGTGTGGTAGTTCCGTGCCCTTCAGTCGAACACTGCTATAAAAAAACCTAAACGTGATCAAATACTAGTTTTAAAGAAACCAATTTTATTATTTTTTTATTGATAGATAATCAAAGACAGACATTCATGAGGTTCTCTTAATGAAAAGTGAAATAAAGCGGCCTATTTTGCCTTACATTTGGAAATCCACTGACTGAAACCGATCCGCGATTAAACTTCACGAAATTTTAACACTCCATACGAAGTCCCACATCTTTTTGGAAATGATTTAAAAACATAATTTTTGTATTAAGTCTTAATTGCAATTATTATGAATACATATTGTCATAGATAGTCTCTTGTTGTTGAATTGTATTGCCTATAGAGAATAGACTGGGATAAACAATATAGTTTCATAATAAAGACAAACTATGGTCACGTGATGACGCGTCATAGTAATTGCAACGAGTGCCTGTCAAAGAAGGACCGGCGTCGCGTCGGTATATAATGGTGTGTGAGGAAAGGGAATGCATGAAAAACTGGCCAAGTGTGTACTGAATTTAGACCGATGGGTTCTGTATAGTTCTGTGCAGCTAGATCTTATTTCTTTAAAAGAGGATCGTTAAAATTAATTAATTTTTTTTAAATCTCAAAACTAGTGGATACATTAACGGCATGATCTAGCGATTATATCATTGTATGTATTGCATTATACCTTTATCTCCCATTTATCACATTTTAACAAACCAAGATAATTATTTTGTTTTAGGTTTCATTTATATTAAAAAATTTAAAGGCACCAATCAACTACTACTTAAGGTCACTTCGAGAAAAATGTGAAGGAAATTTAACGTATTTCTTTGTTTCATGATATTTTTATATAATTCTTCATGTCTTTTAAAACAGTATTGATCATAGATATTTAAAATTTGACTTGCGGAACCCCTTAAAAACGCAGACTCGCTAAGATTCGGTTACACGTTGTAATGACTGCTGTGCCCGTGAGCTGTGAGAGAACTTTTCAATGGAAGTGGATACCGTACGTTATATATGTTGCTGATAAGCGTATTCTGATTTTGTTCTCGACTGTACTCCCTATTTGCCTTAGTTTGTAGGTACATACACATTGCAGCTATAATACAAGTCGTTTGAGGATGTTTACAGCTAATTTAAATCTAATAAAAAGCGCGTTTCGCTTAATAAATTAATTTTGAATACAACATGCTTAACGGTTTAATACGAAACGCACGAGGGGAGTCCCTCCCTTGGCTATGGCTGCTGCATAGCATTCGAAACGTCGGACTGTAGTTAAAATAAATTGTAACATATTATTAACAATAAAATATTTAAATACTGTCTATAGTTTACGCGAGTAGTACACATTTAAATAAAACACTTTAACGGTTTAAAACGCAATATATTTTAAAACTTTTTTGGAAATGATTTTTAACTCCCCGTGTCACGGCCTTCCCGTGACCACGGCTGCTGCAAAGCATCCGAAACGTCGGGCCAAAGTAACTAATATATCGTGTTTTAAACCGTTAAAGTGTTTTATTTAAATAAAGTGTTTTAGTTAAATATACTACTTTCGTACACTTCAGACAATACTTAAGTATTCTATAATCTAAAGTACGGAAGGAGTCTACTTGATTAAAACAAAAAGAAACAATTTTTGAATAGTTTCTGAGTCTAGGGTTTATATCTTCAATTATGTTAAATATTCTTTGTAAAGTTATAGCTAAAAAATATATATTTTTAATAGTTTCAATTATGACCATAAAAATTTAAATCATTGCTAAATAAAAACGAAGCATCTATGCGTCTAACCTATACTAACATTATAAAACTGAAGTTTGTTCAGTATGATTTTTTGTTTGATTGAACGCGCTTATCTCAAGAACTATTGGTTCTAAATATAAAACTTAGAGCGATTCCTTTTTAATAACTAAAAATGTCGGCGAGAGTATACGTCTAAATTTTAAGATAAACTTGCAAAAACGACACGATAGCTATACTTTATAAGTCTGAGGATGTTGTTTGCAAAAAAAATTACGCTCTAAATAACTATACCACGCGACGAAACCGCGGCCACAGCTAGTAAAGCCTTATAAAACTGAATCTCATCTCGCAAATGAACTACATTTTTCCAGCTATATTTATTAATCTCAAGTCAACGCAGTGAGAAATGACGCCTGCCAAACTAAGTCGGCAGAGCCAAGACGGCGTCTGAGTTATGGTCGTTTGTTTGGAGAAGGGATGAAGACCATTAGGGCGGGAGCATAATCCTTATCGGGCAAGTTGCACTTAGGATTAGCTCTGTCAAAAGTAGCTTTTTTCGACCATTCGCGGGACTTGTCCAGCTGTGATTAGGGGATTAGGGGAAATGGTTTATGGCGATGCGATTGTCTGTCTTAAATTGGTCAGACTTGGGAATTATTGACGTATATAGCTTAAGTACGAAAAAGGCGTCTTAAAGCATAAACGAAAGATTTTTAACGGATAGTAGCATCTTCCATAAGTAAATGTTTTATCATTCAACCACATACTGATAGTATTTCATATTAGCAAAATATAAAAAAGAAACTTAACGTCTATAGTAATATATAAAGCTGAAGAGTTTGTTTGTTTGTTTGAACGCGCTAATCTCAGGAACTACGGGTTTGAATTGAAAAATTTGGGAAAATCATTCATCATTATGGGTTTCCGAGGAGTACGCTGCACAAACGGTTCAAGATACTCAAAAAATATGTATGAAATAATGATTCCTCTTTAAATGATCTAAAAGTCTGCGGCACTATATGTCTATCTTTTAAGATTAACTTGCAAGAACGACGGGAATGGACGCGACGCGTGGGTAACAGCCTATAAAATAAAGTTTATAAAGATGACGGGGTTTGCAAAAACGAATATGGATGACCAAAATAACGATTCTCGCGGACGAAGTCGTTGGCACAGTGTTAGTGGTTAAAATATAGGAAGACAAACAATAAAGAAACTCAAACTAAAACCCTAAATTCCTAACTTTTGAATAAAAAAGGTAGTTCTATATTCAAATTTTAGAGCTTCTTCATTCAAAATCTTTGTTCAATACTAAATTTTCTTAATAACCAAATTAAATTAAAAAAACAAGTAAGTCAATATTAAACAAGTTTTTTTTTTAATTAATCTGCTTTATTTTAACATAAAAAAAGTGATTTTTAACTCGTAAGCAACCAACATACAACAAAACATACGCGTATAATACGACACGCTACATATTTTTGGTCTATGAAACAGCAATAAAAACTTATCGCCCAAACCTAAGAACGTACTCTTGGCAGCAGCATTTATTGACACACACAATGTGACTATTATACGGACAAGTTTTATTATAGTCGAATGTTCGAGTTAAATTTTAGCATTGGCACCTTGCCTCATGCTAACGTCTTGAGGGATATTGTTGTTCGTTGAGGGGATGGAGATATCGACAATAAAACTTTATATTGGCTCCACGAAGCACCGACATTACCCGGTCCGTAAATACCCGACGTCGATAACACTTCTATATTTTAGCGGCCGCTATTTTGAGGGTCCACTATGAATAATTTTTACATAGTTTGCAATTGTCGTTGATTCTGTTTTATATTCCACAGAAAGGCTGCAGGGTTTATTACTTATCATTCGCATTTATAAACGACTACAGGCTAGTTTAATTAATCGTGGCTTCGAGTCATGTCTGTCTCATTTTTTCTTAACTTTCCCCAAAAGTATTTTTGCTATGTAGCACATAATATTTAAAATAAAAAGATGGCATTTTAATTTTCTTCTAAGAATTATTTAAGCAATTTGAATGAAATCCCTTTCCCCTCGTGGGGCATAGAGTGAACACACATCTGGCAATAGTTGATCAGACTTCTGTGCCCTGCCCGACCGAAACAATTGACTGTTTCCCCGGGATTTGAACCCAGGACCCTCCCGCGCTTAACGCAATGCTAGGCAACACGTTCAACCATTTAGCTATAGAGGCGGTTAAACACAAACACTTGATCCATATTTTGTTCTAACTTTTCATATTATGAAGGATTCCATTCGCAATAGTCATCTTTCAATTTAGTCTTAACTTAGTCACCTAATTTTCCACGGAACGAATTCTGTCCGACCAGCATTTTCCATCGCGTTTAATAAGTAAATCCCGCGGTTATCACTCAACAAAAGGTAACAATGAAAATCTGGAACGGCAATATTAAAGTTGTGCAACTGCGAAAGTTACCTCGGAACGCATTTATCACGTTTGCACTAGTCATATTTTCAAAGCCATGTTTTGACGTAGATTACTTTCTTTGTGCAGTATTTTGCATTTATATTAGGATTTGCACACGTGTAGTATGTACATTATAAAGACGGTATGTGTAAAATGTGTATTGACGTTTAAATTTTAATAATACAAACTAAAAGCTATTGAAAATTTTAAAATTATACACATGTTATTGCACACAATGGCACTATATATAAATTGAGAATTAAGAAAAAACATCACAGAACTTGAACCGGCATCCACAGCGTTCCGTGCTGTTGCTGGAACAAATAGAGCTACCGTAACCGACACGTCATAGTCAAATTTTTCAACCTCTAGATACTTGCACATCTTGCGAATTGTAATTACAACCTTAACATAATCGATTTTTTCATAATCCTCTATTTTTAAAAAAAGTCAACTTGGCTACTAGATAACACTAAACATATAAAGTAACTTATGCTTTTACATTCCTTTTATAGTCCTTCTGTAAATTTCTCCCTACATTCAAATAATACAGGTAATAATACTAATAACTAGTCGCATAACAACTTCAATATAGCTCAAATCAAACATGTCAAACTTGATAGGTAATTTTCGCGGAATTAATCACTGTTAACTAAACACACTGAAGTTTGATATCAAAACTAATGTTTGATGTTACTTATTACTTCCTTTAATGTAAACATCACAAGTTGGCGTTTGGCTTATCTTGCGTCATGTTTGGTAAGCTTTTGAGCGTCACTTTTCAATCAAAGCTAAGTAGGTACATACATTTTGTACTATGTTCTTAATCTAAACTATATTTTATACTTTTTATTAAAATATACTATTATAAACTACAACAGTCTTGACCGAGTAAAATTTAAGACAAGAATTTATTATGTTTACTATTGTCCAATCTTACTAAAATGCGCTGTCAATTGATATTCGTTGTCAAAAAAAATATATGCATATGTTATATTAATAATAAAGTCTATGAATGAAATATGGTAAATGATCAACGAGTGGTGGGGTTCGAACCCTACCAGTTCCAACATATAGCTCATAAATTTATATTTTTTCTAAAACGTGTTGAACTTCGTCTGGAAATCAAGATATAAATGGGTGGTAGGAACATCGACATTCCGTTCGGGTCACGAACCACCACCGCCATAGATGAAAAAACTGTAACGTTTACATGTCTGTGGATATCCGAATATAAAAAAGCCAATATAGGTATTGCGGTGTTATTTGGCTGTGTCTGTCTTTTTTGGTAATTCTAAAAATAATTTGTTGTACTGAATTAAACTTGGTATAAACTATTAATGGATATATAGGTCAATATTCACTTGCACCTTTGGCTAGGGATCACACCCACCACCGCTCTACACCATTAATCACCCACTTGGCGAAAAAGCGAAGAAATCTGCATCACAATGGGATTTCGCTGGGACAAATCAATTAATCATAGCCGGTATAAGGCTGCCCCATTAACTTCGCACTTGATAAGAGAATAATACGACCCGACAATAGCACTTTCTATAACAAACTCGAGTTAAAAATGGCCGATATTTTTGAATTGTTAGAAGCGGACAACGCTGTTGTTTGATGATTTAGCATTAATGAAGTAGCATTTTATTATCAGTAAAATTGATTTATTTTATTTAATTATTACAGCTTTATTATTTATAATATATACTACATAAACTACGAGAGAAAAATAAAACTTACGTAAAGATAAAAGGCGGCGTTATCGCTAAGCGGCGATCTCTTCCAGGCAACCTGAAGTTCAGGAAAAAGGAAATATAAAAAAGGGCTTATTAAGTGGGTAGGCGTAAGGAATAACAAACAAAAAGCAAAAGTACTTCGTAAAAGTATACACAGCAAGTAAGAAAAAGTAAATTAAGAGTTGGACAGATAATATTTATAAAGCATAGTCTTAAAAGAACGGAAAGGTTGAGCTTTTCTGATATTAGTAGGAAGGGAGTTCCAAAGGCGGTGTTAGTTTTTACAATGACAGAATCATTGAAGAAAGAGGTTTTATGTTTAGGTATAAATAAGAGAAGATTATCGATAGATCGGAGATTTAACTGGTGAGAACTCAAAAGGACGAAATTCTCTTTTAAGCAAAAGGGGTTTTAGGATCGAAAAGGACACGGTTTAAAATTAATCGTTTTAATAACTATGATGAGTGATTAACAGAACACATTAAAAACATTCTTCTTAATACTTAATTTGAATTTAGAATCTTAGTTTCTGAACCAGACGTTATTAGCACGATTGTATAAAATGTAATTATTTAAATATAAATAACACACTATTATCTTTTTACAATATATTTGTAACTATGGCCCGACGTTTTCGATGTTTTTATTTATTTATAAATCCTAATCTACCTTTAGTTATAAATGTTTTGAATAAAATATAGATACATTAAAATATTAATATTTACATATTACAAATAAAGCTACTATTGTGAAGTTATTCATGGAGCAGTGAAATTTGTATTGCATTAAATGTTTTAAAAGGTTATTTTATCACTTGATTTGCAAATACAGGGACAATATATTAGTCTACACATATGTAATATTAGATTATTTTAGTAGATTCAGTTTCGTAAAGTTGTAATTAAATTAGGTTTTCTTGGCGAAAACACTGAAATATCATGAAATTCATCAAGTAATGTATCCGTTGACGCCGAAAATTTCATCAAGAAATCAAAGCCAAGACGAAATATGAAACACGGTGAAAAATAATCTCGCGAACATTACTTATTTCCCAGCTCGCAAAAGAGTTCTAGAAATCCCGTGGTTATTTCCCCGAAAAATGTCGATGTCGAAAACGTCCACGTTGATAAATGGTCAAAATTTTGTTTAACTTTTAAAGTTCGCTCGTTTTCTAAAATATCGACTATGTTGACATTTTAATACGGGCTCGGGGATATACGACGCTTTTGTACGGTTAATGGGATTTGGGATATTTTACTGAAACCTTAGTAGCTAGTTATTGATACGTTATTTAATAACTGAAGTGATATTGGAAGGTTAATAATCTGTTGTTTCAACACGACTATTGACATTGTGCACACATATATATTTTCTCTACCAGCAATCCTCTTTTCATTAATTAAACATAATGAATTAGCTCTATACAATACAAAATACAGTAGTGAACGGGGAGAATAAATTGTATAATTACTCTAATTAACAATGTACGTACTAGTTTCTCAGTACACTTATTATAAATCCTATGTTAATTAAATTATTGTAAAACGTAATTAAACGATTTCAGCATAAAATAAATTTTGAATTTAAATACAGTCTGCATTTATATGTCATCGTTATTATTATTTTGACGTGGATATTATCGATTACTACTATTTCCATACTATTATAAAAACTCGCAAACATAGGTACGATGTAGCACTTCACTCTGCAACGATATACAAGAAGTCGTTCTGTCTGTTCGGCTCTCGTTTTATTCTGAGTTTAGGTATAGTGACGTTTTAATAAGAAATTTCCTTCAGGTGGATACACCGGACAGCGTGCTACAAAGTGGCTTAGGTCTCGGTCCAGGCCCTGACACAGCTCTTAGATCCATGGTCGATCCCAGAGACTATGATCGGCTGCGCTACTTTCAAATGACATCAGCCCAACCGAACACCTTTGAAGAGACTATACATAGGGTGAGCCATTGTTTTCCTGCTTGAACACATACGAAGGTGCTGTGGTTTTGCTTCGATAGCATATTTAGCTTGCGTAAAACATTTGAGCTAACGCGGGCTGCAAAACACAGTGACTTTCATTTCAGCAGGAAAACTTTCTGTTATTCTCTGAGTGGCAAAATCATGTTCTAAATTCAAATCGTGAACGATCAATTCAAACATCATCGAATGCCCACAGAGTGATAACAGGAATTCAAAATTCAAAATTTTTCCATCGCCTACACGTTTTGGTTTTCTACATTTGGAATGCTCAGTGAAAAAGGAGGTGGCTCTATTTCAGCTTTTATCATCTGGAAATTCATTTTGTTCTTAAAAACTGTATTTAATGTATATTTAATGATTGTGCACGTATCGACCCATGAATGCACTAGCTCGGTTGCATGAAATTTGATTAAAAGCTATGTATGTAGTTATTAGCTATTGACTATTTTTTTATCAACAATGAGAATAATATTTTGACTTCCCACATTAGTTAGTTGGTATGTTTTTGTCTCCTTAGTTCGTTGTCACTTACTCTTGAATGGAGGAACATAGCATGCAAAGCAAAGCAATGTCTGTAATGCATAATACATATTTTTTGCTTTGTCACATTTTATGGTTTCCTTTTAAAGAAAATGTGTAATCAATATAGGCGTGATACTTATCAAAAATCTATTTTACATTTGTCACTAAACAACTTATAAAGTAGATGTACGTATGTATATTCACGAATATGCGTGTTTGAAATTGGCTATATTCTACGCAACTTTCCTTTGCACCAGAAAATAATTCTATTGTACAGTATTCAGTAATGTAACTTTATTATTTTTTGCTTGATAACATAAAAAAAATTACTTTGTGTGGATTTAGTGGATAGTATAATTCTATAGTACAAAGTTTTATTATTCACAAAAAATTCCGGGTCACAAAAAAGTCTTAGCGTGTATCTTTTATTATCCCAGTTTAGTTAGATAACGTTATAATAAATAAGCAGTTCGTTTAAAATATGATTCGCTTAAAAACTCGCAAAGGATAAAACTTTCATAAACTTTTAAATAAATGAGATATTGTGCTTGTTGCAGTTAAAAGTTCAGGAGGCGATGAAGAAAAAGGACAAATTGGCGAGGGAACAAGAGGAGGTAATTCATTAAAAGTTCTCTATCTTCAGTTTTTCTTTTCTCACATGTGTATTTTATACGTAGTTTTGGGCTTTTCCTTTATGAGAAAAACATATGGAATAGATACACCGTCTTCATTTCTTTCCTACATTTATTTTAGTTTTTAATTTTGAGACTGCATCATGATACGTTGGGTCGTAGTTTACAATCAATTTACTTTGTTAAGGTCAAATTCATCCATCAATCAAATTGCTTTTCTTTGTATGAAAATACATAGGAATTCATTTAAATACCACTTAATGTTAGTATTGTACGCTTACAAGATTATATATAATTAAAAAATTAGTTGTAATAATAATGCATAGATTTTTTTAAAGTAGGTATATGTAGATTTCGTTAATCTTTACCAATTATTAAAAAATATTTTTGTGTTGGTAAGGCATTTATCGAGAAAGCATTTAGACTAGAAATCACGCTATGATTAATAGGAGGAAAGAAACAGTGGGAAATAGGAACAAAATGGGGTTTAAAAAGATATGTTTTTAAGAATGATTTCCCTTTAAATGATCAAAAAAATGTCTGCGATATTATATGTTTATCTTTTAAGATTAACTTGCATGAACAACTATACACGAACACAGCGGGTAGCGGTTATAAGAGGAGGGAACAAAAACAAATTTTAAAGCCAAAAATAACTTTTCTACGCGGACACAGTCGCTGTCACAGCTAGTTTATGTAAATGTAAGAAATTAATAATTAGCGAGTGTCGTTTTCAAATGTAGATAAAATCAAATTCTAGCACGCCCGACACTGAGTGATAGTGTCAAACGAAAAGCCTAACTAATACAAGTGTGATAGAGTCGGTAATCCCAGCTAACATCGGTCGGGTGCAACCCCCGACTAATCATGCTCTAATCGGCAGCTAAGCCTGTTGGAACTTATAGCGCTTCGATACGAAACTTCGGAAGCCTTTTGCTAAGCATGTTACATTTGCTGCTACTTTTGTCATTTTTTCTACTAAAACTTTTACGTGGTCCTTATACTATATATGTATATATATTTTGTCTTTTTTAATTAACCAATAAATCTAAATCATAAATTTCGCATTTGAAACCGTTAAAATGTTTTATTTGAATGTGTGCTATTTGCGTAAACTACAGAGTATTTCATTGGTTTGGTCAATACATTAAAAATAGATTAATACAAAACATATGTCAATAGTTTAACATTTATCATATTTAAATATGTAAACACTATATGTTCTTTGTCTAGCGTGGTACGCAAGTATTAATGTATTACTTTATTCCATTATTGACTTTCTCAAATTAATACGTACATACTAGAGCAGTCAGTGACTTTATCCGCGTAGAGTAGTTGTTTTTTAGTCATCAAAATATGGTTTTGCAAACATCCTACTCACCTTTATAAATTCGTTTGCGACCTGTCGTTCTTGCAAGTTAATCTTAAAAGATAGATATATCCTATCCAGGACATTTTTTACATCACTTAAAGAGAAATCATTCTTTCATATATCTTTTTTGAGTATCTTTAACCGTTTTCGCGGCGTAGGCAAAGAAACCCCCACAAGGATAAATAATTTTCTCGGTTTTTTCTACATTTTCTGCTCTTACTTCGTTCCTTTTAGTTGCAGCGTGATGTTTTATAACCTATAGCCTTCCTCGATAAATGCTCTAACCAACACAAAAATAATTTTTCAATTCTAACAAATAATTACTGAGATTAACGCATTCAAACAAACAAACAAATTCTTCAGCTTTATATATTAGTATAGATAGCACAAATTTACTACGTGTAAAAGTAATACCATAGGTATGTAGTTGTTCTAGTAAAACCATAATTTGTGACAACTTTGAGTTGAAATTATACGTATTAAAAGACGTTTACAAGCTTATTACATCATTCCCAGATCCCAATATTCGAGAGATATCTCGTTTTTACACACTCACAAATCCCTTCTATGTAGTCGAGCGAACGCGCATAAATTAACTTAATGTCTTCAATACTTTTCTACTTACGTGGAATTGGTCGTTCCACAGCCTTCGAATATTTATTGTTCTGTTCGCGATGTAGCGAAATATTTCGCTTGTGTTTTTTTTTATACGTTTTGCGTTGTGTTTCACCTCGTTAGTGGATGCTTTAACACCCACGCAGACATTAAAAGAACGAGTTACTTTTAGTATAATGATAATTTATTTTTTATTTTTTTAAACGATATTGCTTAAACGTGCTGTGCTTAATATTATCATCTAACTAAATAACAAGATAAATAAAAATTAAGGATACTTTTAAACAACTATTATAATAGTTTAAATGATACACTTGCAACGGTTTAAAACGCGAAATTAATAAGTTAACTTATTTAAAAATTATTTTAACTACAGCCCGATGTTTCGAATGCTTTGCAGCAGCCATGGTAAGGGTGGAGGGGTACTATTTAAATTCGTATTATTCGCGTAATCAACTCCAGACAGTACTTATTATAAAGTAATTATTAAATAAAATCTGATAATATTTTCAAATATAATATTTACTTCTTCTGGGCTTGAAATGAGAATAATAAATAAATAAAAAGGAAATTACAGATGAATAACACAAAATATTTTCACAGATTCTGCGTGATATCCGGCATGGCCTTATCAACATGGGGAGAGACGGCGTTCGTGGACCGTTCGGAGGTATCTAATGACACTTTAATGTAATTTATCTGAAATACTGAAACGAAGATATTCTTAAGTTTATCCTATTACAACGAACGCTTTTTAATATCATTCTGATGAAAAAGATTCGTTATTCAAATTCATGTTTACAAAAATACTCAATATTAATAGAAAATCGTCAGTATTTCAACGCTTTGTCAATGAATTATAGAAATTCTATCAAAAAATGAAAGCTAATAATATAATATCAATTATTGAACTCTTTATATCGACTGAATGTTCTAGAAGCTTTAAGGTGTTTTGGCCGTATTTGATGTGAGCATTTCTATTCTGTTATGCATTCTAAATTCAAAATTTATTTGAAGCTTCCTTTTTGTTTTCTAATTAGACCGTGATCAGACTTTGATTTGCTGGAATGATTCCGAGATTAAGGTCAAAATATCGCTTGTGAATATTACGATGTGAAAATAACGCGGGATAATAAATTTGAAGCATGTTGTTCGCTCGATGTTTTGACACTTAATTTATTGGTCATCTTGACGGAATGCTTACTTTGATATTGTCATTGATTTATCGTCCGGTAACGCAATCATCCGGTATGCTTTCGATGTGCATCCTTCATCAATCATATATTGAAACGACTCGAGCGTTGATTCGATAGAAACTCATTAACCGAGGAGAAAAAGGTTACGAATGGAACCGGTCAATTGAAATCACCATCATCAAGTCGCGATGTTTTGTTTGCGTCGAAGTGCCAAATGCATGTTTTAAAATATATAATTTTGCATCAACCACGCACGGCTTTCCGATGTTCGTTACACAGCTTACCTGCAGTGTTGTCAGTGAAACCGCCACTTGGCGGGAGGGCATTTTACGGTAAAGTTTTTTTGCAATTATGCTAGCACGGATTTTATTTGCACTGTCGAGGGGTCGCATCACTCATGTCTAATCGGGGAATCGTTTACAGACGACACGTATATGTACGACGACGAAGCGAGAGGCTTGTCGGGAAGAGGGCATTGGTACGATGAACCCCCGTATGAGAGCGATCCCGAAGACTTCCTCATGGGCGGAGGGGCACCGGCCGCGTCGTTTCAGAACGGCCGAGTCTGCTTCACGCTTAATCTTCGAAACGAGCCGAGAGGCGAAGGCGTGATATCCCTTAGAAGCGCCGGCGATATAAGCTTAGCGAGGGCACCGCGGCGAGGATTAATAATTCCACAGAGCGGCCCCTACCCAACCACTGTGATACCCTTGCGAACTGCGCGAGATAGGGAAAGCGGGGATTACGCCGCGTCAGACATACAATCGATAGGATCGCGACTATCCGGCATATCGTTGGAATCGAGTCGATCCGAACGAGACTCGAGACGAGGTTACAGGCAAATGTCAGGCTATCGAATAGGAATGGACCCGTTATCGCCCGCCTCATCGGATTACGAAGATCAAGAGAGCGAGACTGACTCGCAGCACATAGCCACGGTGCATAAGGTAATCGAATTAAGATCGATGTCATCAATTCGATGGCTAATACAATTATTCCAATAACGAAATGATGTTTTTCAGTCAGCCGACGAAATGGAGGGGGTATCGAACTTAGTGGGGAAAGTGCGAGGGTTACGGCAGGACGTTCAAAGGAAAATATCCAGGTTAAGACAAGAGAGGGGCCCGGAAGGTACCGAGAGGCGGACGAGCGGGGACCAGGCGTTCCCCTGCTCTAATAGTTCTTTTGAAAGTCTTCCCAGTGGATCAGGCAGTAGTGAGTGGATTTAGCTCTGTGTTAATATAAATGTTTGTAAATAAGTTTTGTCTTTCTTTTCTCTGTACCACGTCCGCAGTATGTGTTAGTGTAACTTGACTTACCCCTCAACCTTTTCACTAATAAAACAGATAACAAACACACCTAGATGGAACCTATATTATAATAGTGAATCATGACAATATTCACGAAAAAACATAAGGAGATTTTTGTTTCCTTTTAACCCGGGTATAATTTAATGCCATAAAAGAGGGTCTATCTAGGTTGCATTAATGAATTCTACTTACTACTTACGTAAAGTGTAAATAGAACGAGAGGTGAAAAATATTTGTCTTCGTACAGTTTCCGCTTTCCTTAATATGCCTTTGACGTTCAAATTAAGTAATTTATGAAAGAGGCTAGGGTAAGCGGATTCTGTACCCTTTAAAATGTTAGGATGTAAATGCCACATTTATGTACAGGCACGCAGGCATTGGTTCGAGCCGGTAGTAATCATTCATCTCTGTCAGCAGAAGAAAACATAGAATTAAGTCCGGCCGGGCGGAGTCTCCTCGTACCGCAGATGCTGTGCCGTGCGCGTGCGCTGGTCGATTACATACCCAATATTTACGAAAAGGATGCTTTGAGATACAAGGTAGGAAAGTTTATGTTTAAACCAACTTCTAGCTAGCTATTTTTGTTTTATTTATTAACAGACGTTTATTATTTGTTTTTTATTAACAGAAAGGAGATATAATTGAGGTGATAAATATGAACGCATCCGGTATATGGCGAGGCGTACTTAACAATAAAGTGGGTAACTTTAAATTTGCAAATGTGGAAGTGCTCTCAGAGAGAGATGCGAACAGGTCAAGAACCCTCAAATGGTGCAAGAGCAGGGAACGACTTTGGGAGACGCGTCCGAGAACGGTCGAAGAACTTCTAAGAAGGATAGATTTGCCTGAGTACGCCATTGCCTTCGCACGGAATGGTTACGAAGATATCGAGCTGTTTAAAGAAATCGAGCCATCCGATTTGGACTACCTAGGAATTATGACCCCTGATCATCGAACACGTATCCTCGCTGCTGTACAACTGCTGCACCAGCTTGAATGTAAGTGTATTAAGTAACAGGACAGGTATTGTTATAGTTATGGTAGATAAGAGCAATACCGATTTTAAACTTTGTGACAGGTGGCGAAGGTGACGGTGAGGTGGAAGGTGGTGGTTCAAGTTCAGAAGGTGGTGATTCACCATTCGGACGACGGCAGTTTCCACGCGATTCTGGCTGCTATGAAGCTGGAGTAGGCGTGGGTGGCGTACGTGTCCGTACTTCGCCCCTCGTGCATAGAACTGACGAACCTTCCCATAGACCTCCGGAGCCAGCGCCTCAAGCGAAGCGCTCTATTCGTCGACGTCAGCCCGATGATGCTGAGTGCGATAGAATCGAAAGATATCCAGGCACAGTAGGAGAGAAGGTCGTTGCTCGAAGCGGTGGCTTACCCGGCGGGGCGAGAGATGACATTTGTGAATCTGATCATAAACTGAATGTCGTGAAGTTTGTCGCCGGAGGTGAGACCTGTGTGTCCGAGAAGAGCAGCGATTCGGGAGTGAGTAGTTCGTCGTTGAGTTCAGCGCACCCACACCGTCCCTGAGCGCGGGCTGGCGCGCCCGTGCTGTCCTAGGCCACGGCGCGGGCGCCGCCTCAACGAACTGACGAACAAACTGAAGCAGTTGAAATTGAAACTTGTCAATCGCAACTCTAACTTCTCCACTAGGAAAATATTTAACAAGTTTTGCGTAAATCGCTACAAACAGATCTAGTTAATGAACGCTCAAATCTGCCATTTTGTTTAGATTATTTTTGATTATACAAACTTTTCTACGGTAAATATATGGCGAATTTTTCTCCTCTATCGCATTTATAGTTTTAGTGATAAGACTGATGAACATTCGCATAAGTATGTTTTGTATTATTGCCTTTTTATATGTGACCAATAGATCGTGTCTCGCAGATTATGACTGGAAATATTTCTTTTTGTTTATCATTCCGTAAATTAAAAGCATATCAATATTAAAGATTACTTTTAGCTTTAGTTGCTTTTTGACTGCGTGGAACATTCTCCGTTCATGTCTATTTAGTTTTGAGATATGCCTCAAGTATTTTTAATTGTATCATTTGTAGCGTAGCGTGATGGGCCTAAAATTTTTATCGCTTAGTTAACGAACGGGGAATGCCAGTGCATATTTATTTCGTAGTCTTAACCAGGGGCGAAGCAATAATCGTAGTTTGTACGTCTTTTTTGACGTTAATTTTACGTCGAACTGCTTTCTGGTAATTAGGTTGATACTTAATAACTTCAAATCGAAATCCAGCTGAACAAAAAGTTTAAGAGTGTATTTCTTTTGCGTATGTACGCTCTAAAATGCTCAATATTTAATTGCAAAGACGAAAAATTTGTTGATATTCAAAGTTTGAGTAAAATTTTAGTTACGACAGACCATAGGAGTCAAGGAAGTGAATTTAATTGCTTCGCCCGTGGACATGGCAATAAGTCGTCGTTATAATAATGCGTTCTAAGCGCATCTTTAATAGCAATAATTGTACATACATTAAATAGATAGGTTAATTATTATATGTTGAGACTTTTATAATTTTTTAAGAGAGCTTTATGCGATCGTCGCATGTATATAATTCGGTAGAGTAGATGAGGTGTGAAATTTAAAATTTCGCCCGAATCTCCCCAATGGTTTTCCTCTTTCCCTTAGACATTCGTTGTGAATTTATAGTTGAATCCGGTGTAACATAGATAATAGTATCGTCGTATAGCTGACACGAAGACGTTTTTATGGACACTGCTTATCGTTTCATTTTCTAGACATCAGTTAAGCTAAGCTTTAAACAAAGTTCAACTCTGGTGTTCAATAGGTAAATTGACAAAATGAATTTCGTTTTCAATCACGAACTAGTCTGAAGAAATTTGTACATAGATAGATGTTTGTTACCTGTATATTGTAGATAGAATATGTTTTCTTTTAACGGTTATTGTATATTCCTTAAAAATAAAATGTTTATTAAAATTAATTAATATTTATGTTTCGTGCGTTCGCGATTAAATATTGTTCTAACTCTGTTTTAAGATTCGGTTAATTATGTAATTTTTCACTTGTGTTAGCAATATTTCGCAGTACTTTTGTAGCAATATTTATATTTTTTTAAACAAACATTATGTAAGTTTACAATTCTACAAACATGGATTCTAAATAAATACATCCGAAATTATGGTGCACTTTTATTTTACCCAAACTCAAATAAGACAAAAAACCCCCTCGTCGCAATTGATCGAAATCGAGATCGAGCTTTAAGATTATTTGAAATATTTAATAACGAAATACCTACAATAAAAGGTAAAAATATGTTGCCATTAATATGTTGTCCATTTAAACAATTCTTCTTAAGTTTTAAGGCAATACTGACACTCGTAATTTTTTTATGATAGAGGACGACATACCAGCATGGTCACTTGATGGTAGATGGTAGCCAAATAAAATCGTTTATATTACGTAGTTTGTATAAACTACATTGAAACTACTTACAATATTAAATTTAGAAATATAATTTTCACAAATTAAACAATAAATGGTTTAAATGACTTTCCTAAGCGTATTTGACTTCACGAAATGATTGTTTGAATAGGTAAGTACCTAATGAAAAATAAGTGCGGGCCCGTTTGAGCGAGACTCGTAAAATTACCATAAAACTAGTTGGAGAATTCGTTTATTACTTAAATAACTGAGGCTTAATGAGCCATTTGCAGGTTCTATGTAATCGACATTTTACACAGTCATTATAACAATACGGGTGACAGATCTAAGTTTGTCCCATCGCTGGGATGTTAGTCTGGAAGACGTAGCTTTTATACCGTAGATAGGATTTTTAAAACACATAGATCGAGAATTTTAATATTCCTGCACTTCTTTGCTAAATTAGGATGTTGATCTTATATAAATGTCAGCTAGCAACTTAATAATATATAAACCACTGGCTGACCTGGCAAACGCTCTTCTGATAAAATAAAAATATTTCGATGAAATTTCATTTATACACATTTTAAACATTTACCAAAAACAAAGATTATTTTGAGTAAATCTTAACAGATAGATATATTATATATATATATATATATATATAATAGTGTCACTGACATAATTTAGATAATTTAAAGAAAAATACATTTTTTTTTGGGTTTTTCAATATTTTTCGCAGCATACGAAACGGAAGCCCTCAAATATGAATATTTTTTCCGTATTTTCCATTTTACCAGCTTTGTTGTTTTGCAGCCTCGAGCCTTCCCCGATAAATGATCTAACCTACACAAGAATATTTTTCAATTCGAACACTTATGCTTTATAATATTAGTTTAAATTTAATGGTAATAAGATACAACTTAAGTCGGTTAAGATATAAAAACAAGTGGTTGAAAATAATAAAACAGTATAGGCTGTCCGCCTATGGAATGAGCTACCACCCACAGTAAGACTCTCATAGATTCAGACTGTATTTAAGGTCAGAGCCAAGCAATACTTTCTTGGTAATGCTGTTTAGCCTTGGCCTCACTGGCTTTAGAATTAATCACATTTAGGATGTTAACATGCTTCTCTAGGTGTTAATTGTGTTATTTTATCTATAAAGTATGTTTAGCTTTAGTAATTTAGTGTTAATTTCCAGTTTAAATTATCTTTTTATTGTATAATTTAATTTTTTATATTGAATTTTGATTGTTTACTAAAATTATCTTTTTATTTCTTATTTCTACATGCAAAGGTTGCCTGGAAGAAATCGCCATAGGCGATATAGCCGCCTTTGCACAAACATGTTTTATTTTGTATATATAATTCTAAGTACTCATGTTCTTATGTCTATGTTTGTGCAATAAAGGTTTTTATTATTATTATTATCATTAAAACAATAGATCTACCCGATACAATACATATGTTTGAATTTACTACGCCGCGGTTGCGTTTTAACACAAATAAATAATTATTTTTTATTGGTGGTAGGTGAACGACCTTCACTAATGAGACACCAAGCAAAGGTTTGTTCCGAGTATTTCTTTCAAAATTTCCCTTAAAACCGTAAAAGCCTCCTTTGGCAAGTGAGAAGTTCCTTTCACATTTGAGAACGCTGTCTTCATAATATAAGACATAAAGCTCGTTAGATTTCGTATGTTTAAATAAACGTTTATTTTCTTGGCTGTATTTTAAGCACCAAATCCGAAATTATAAAAGTGTTATGCAAGCCAATATAGCTCTTAAATTAACTTTTTATAAAAGATGCAATTGCTTGCAAATTGGATATAGGATTAACATCACTCAAGATTTTATCTTCATAACTTATTTCTTATATTTAACTTATAAATCTTTGTAAATAAGGGTCAACGGACTTGTTAAGCGAATTTTTGATGAATGCCTTGAATTGCAGGATGTTAAAAATTTAGGTTAGGGCTCACTTCGTTAATTTTGACAGGATAATACAGTATGATGTTTTTGAGTGGGTCAGGTTTAACAGTTGTATTAGACAGCGAGTAATTTATGTAGAGAACTTACTTGTCTCGTATGTATAATAACTATATGTTTAAATACAAAAGATTTTTAAACATCATGTTATGAGTTGATTCATGGTCTAAAAGTAAAATTTAATTGCTAAATATTATATAAGATTATTTAAATACTGTCTATAGTTGACGCGAGTAGTAGTAGTAGATTTTAACTTCGCCCGACGTTTCGGATGCTTTGCAGGGGGCAGGGCCGTGGTCAGGCGGGGTGACTGGGGGGGGGGGGTTGGGGGAGGGTCTGTTTTAAACCGTTAAAGTGTTTTATTTAACTGAGATTATTTATTTCGGCCCCGGGCGGAGCGTGTATAACGTATTATATTACGCTTCTGTAAATAAAATATATTTACCCGTAACTTTATGTGGAGAAAGTACAGTAATATTGTTTTCTGAATCGAAAAATAGATAATAAGAAATAAATATCACACTAAGAATATCGAAGTTACGACCAGCCTCGTACAGAGTACATTGCTTCATCAACTGAACTAGCTTTAGTTTACCTATTCTTTTGTTTTTCAAGGTCGCCCCAAGAATTCTTTTATTTCTACCTTTATCCAATATTCCAACTTTATTAACGTCCCGGAGTTTCTGTAATGAAGTTTACGTTCGCTACAGAACTTTATATGAAAAATGATTAATGGCCCGAGGGTCTACATACGAAGAATAACTAAGGGCATTCGGTATTACTAGACGTACTAACTTCGAAAACGAAATACCTCAGTGTTTAATTATAAAATATGTTAGAAGTTTTCTTTTGGACCACGAATTTCTTCGTTTCGAAAATAATTGCGCGAAAACCCTCGCTAGCTCGGAACGCTTATTTTAAATATTAATAAAACTTTTTGCCTCAAGCTGGATACCTATGCTATTGTTTCAAAAGTAAAGTCTAGCTCGAAAACGTCAAAAAACTTCTATTACACTTGAGAAATCTGTACATTCTATACAGGGATGGACAGATGATAAAAAATTCCACTAACAATTCTCGTAGCACCAGCTTTTATCGCAGATTAAATATCTAGATACGATATCTCTACTGGCAATTT